AGTTACACGACTTACTTAAATATCACAATTACAAATACTATTCACAACGAATCAAAGTCACAAACATAAATTTTCGAAAAGAAAGCACGACATACAAATTCTAGAATGAAAATCATTTACATTGACTACCGATGCATAATTGGCCGTCTGAGAAATTGTAAGTTGCCCAATTCTAATGTTTAATCATCTACCAATTGTGATATAACGCCAATCAAACCCCAAATTGAAGCATCTGGATACGAATTCAATCCAGCATAACAGAAAATTTCTTGCAACTGTTAATAATTATTGATTTGTGACGATATTCTTTAATTTGTATCGTGAAATCTCTAAATTTATAAGTATTGGAGATAAAGACCTATGTAAATGATAACACTGTGATGAATTTGTGTTTTAGGAATGTAAAGATGTATTTTAAGAAGTTCGATCACGAATGGAATCTTGATTCTTGTTTTCAGGAATTAAATCTTAACAGATATGTATAAGATTCTCTGATATTTAAAATTGAAAACATATTATCTTAAAAATGAAATGAAGCATAGCTGGGATTTGAATTTTTCCCAAAATTTATTTCCTTATTTATAAAGTTGATATGGTCCAAGTCCTTTGTAGTAAATACATCAAACTGCGTGCAATAAAACATTGGGCCACCCAAAAAAAATAAAAATACAAATGATCAATTGATAAAGAGATAATGACAAAATAATTCTCGAAGCACAACTGTGGGATAATGAATTCTTATTACTGCAATAATGATTAGCAGTTTATGATCAATTAAGTGACATTAAATGATAAAACATCTTAAATATGAATCACATTTAAGATATACTGAATCACTTAATTGAAACCTTATCGGTAATCTAAATAAATGGCATTACTCATTTTTAATGCTTATCCACTCCAATTTTTATTTTGATATATTTAGCACATCGATAAACTAATATGGATTAGCATTAAAAAGGAAGATAACACCAATGGTTAGTTATTAAGGATAGCATAGAAGATAATGCTTAATTTGATATATTTCTATCTCAAGGGAAAAAAAAAACAAATTTTGCATATTTGCCTTTACAATCGCGCTACACTTACAGAAAGGTGCTTCACAGATAGCTCATCGATGACGTGGCAGGTCAATTAAAAAAAGGAAAAAGCCAGAAACAAAAAGGAAAAGGGGAAAGGGAAAATTCACACAAATGCTCTCGTCTTTCCTCTACACAAATCCCCTCTCTTTCCTCCAAATGAAACCCTAGAAATCGCCCATCCCCGACCTCCATCCGGCCACGAACATTGGGTGAAGTTGTTTACCATCTCCATATGAAGGTATCTCTCTTCCAATTTTCCTTGATTTTGAAAATTTTGAAACCGTTGATCAACCGAACAACTATCGCACTGATTTACCGTCACCAGGGTAAACGATCGTCCACAAACGCTGTCCACAAACGTCGCACTCATCTCCACCGTCGCCCATCATCTTAGCACTCAAATCCACATCCTGCCGACAACGTTACTGATAGTAAATCATCATAAATTCAAAATGGAGATATATGATTCTGAGTATGTTACTTAATAGAGTGGTTAATGTTGTAGACGTTGTGGTAGTTATGCTATCAGTTTTTATTTTGATAAGCCCACTGATGTGAATCGTGCAATTAATTGATGGAGATGAATGAAGGACTATGAATGTTGACAATGAATTTTGAATTATGCCCAAGAAATCTCTTGATAGTTCTGTTTGCATATAATGAGAGTGGGTGGTGCTGATTTATGTTTGCATACATGGTAATTTTTATTTGTGTTTGAAATAATTTATGCCCATTTTCTTGTCATCTTTGTCGTTGCTTCCCGTCCAGGATGAGAGGTAGAAATGTTAGTGTTTGTCACGGATGTAGAAGCACGGAGCACTTCTTTATGGATTGCCCAATGAAATGGCGATGTCCATTGTGTGCACTTGGATTGGAGAAATGTTTTGAGGTTGAAAGGGAGACCGAGAACAAAGGACGATTATTCAAAAAGTGTAGTAAAAGTTGTGGTTATTTTGATTGGGTCATAAATTGCGAATCAAGTGGTGAATCGAGAACCATGACTGAAGCGGTGAATCTTGCGACAATCGAGGAAGTTGAAGATTTGCCAACTATGATCGACAGCCTAGCTCGAATAGTTGAAAAACGAGACATCGAGATTTCGTTCAATGTCACATTTCGCAAAGGGAAAGGAAGTGCGGAAGTGAATGCAAAAGGCAAGGGCATTACTTGATCACTTAGTTTAGTTTTGGGAAAAATTTGTGCAGTTGCCCATTACCGTAAAATTGTTCGAGGTGTTGTCCAGAATCAGATTGGGCTGCTGTTCATCAACTCCCTTATTAGAAAGGAAATCCTCAAATTTCTCAAGGCGATGTCCGGAATCAAATGGGGCTTTGCCGTTGAAGAAGAGACCTCACATGGGTTCGAAAATGCTCCGGCATCAGTTGCAGGTAAGATGTATGCTCCGTCAATTGGATGAAATCGTGGTCAAATGATATCTAAGCTACTGGACATTTTTCCCTGGGCTTAGCAGAGGCTACTACAACTTTGCGATTCCTTTCGGAGAAGTGGGTTTGAGGAAGATGGTGAATCAAGGTAGACGGCTAGGCGGGACTAGCTGGATTTTCCCTCTGTTTCTCACAAGGATTGCTCTCACAATTTGATTTTGGAGGCTGGGTCTTTCCTTTCCTTTTTCATAGACCCCATTTCTTTTCTCCATCACATGATTTCCTTTTCCCATCACGTGCATTTTTTAAGTTTTTTGTAATTCTTCTGTGAAACAGTGCTATGTACATCCAGCATTTTCCTTGCCTTTATATCGATTTTTCTTTTGAATCAAATAAAAATAATTTAAATAATGTCCCCTTGTAAATCATTGGATCCATGACTCCTTTTTTAATTCAATCCATGAGAAATTTTTTTTTGAACAAATTGATGACTCTAAAGTAGGGATGACAACAAGACGGGTATATGACGGGTCAATCATTCTCACCTCCATCTTATTGGGTATTTTTGTCATCTTACCCTATCTTCATACTCTGCTAAAGAGAGGCGGGATGAGGTGGGACAAGTCCCTTACCCCCATTTATCGTTCCGTTTATTTTTTTGTTTTTATTTAATTTTTATGAATTTGAAATTAACTTTAAGTGGGATGGATAGTTGGACATGTACTATATTTCCCGTACTTGCTTTTGGGCAATGATTCCCGCCTTTTTACCAATTAGACAGGTTATCCCCGTCACATTCGGGGCGAGGCTCTGGGGGTATCGGGGTTGAACGAGTTTTTTGTTATCTCTACTATGAAGCCTAAATAGTAATGTATATGGTGTGACATATAATAAAATTTTCGGATAATTTGTTGAAGCGCCAAAAATATTGAAGATTAGTAGCTAGGGAAAAATTGAATAGAGAATCAAGTGCTTATCTAACTATAGAGAAATTTTCACTTTTCATCTCGAATCTTTGCAGATTATTATTAATCTACCTCAATTATTTTAGTATCAAACATCTCTTCATGTTTTCTATTTTGTTGATATCTTTTATTTTTGTTTATTTAAAGATGAAAATTTCTTCTTTTTACACAAATTTAATAAAAAAAAATGGACACAATGATGTAATTTGCAATTAAATAAAAGGTTATGAATGCAAGATTTGAGAATAGAAGTATTATCTAGAGGTGGGCAAAATCCGACCGAACCCACACAAATCGCCCAAACCGAACCAATCAGATCGGGTTGAGTATGTTTTTTTGTTGTTTTTACACGGGTTGGGTGGGTTAGCTGTGTAGGCGGGTTGGGTTGGGTCGAATTATGGGTTAACTCAAGAAAATCGAATAAATTCGCCCAATCCAACCCGCCACTTCAAAAAAAATAAAAAATAAAATAAAAGAAATAAAATGCCTAAAAGAAACCTAAAAAGTATGGATAAATAATGTAACTGTAATTATCTTGATATATTTTAGAGGAGGAGCTTACTGTTCTTCCCACAAGAAATGTAATATAAGTTTTTCATGTTATATTAAACGCACTTTATTCTTTGTAGGCTCGGCTAATGAGGATTGAATAAAATAATAGATAATTTTATTTATTTACTTACTATTTAATCTTGTCTATTCGAATTTAGTATAATAAAAAATTGGATGACTTAATTTTTGTTGACAAGTCGTCCCCAAACCGACCAACCCGACAGAACTCGACCGATACTTGATTGGGTTGTATTTCAACATTTACACAGGTTGGATTGGATTAAATTTTGATCAAACTGATCATTTTGAATTGAGTTTGGGTTGAGGGAATAATCGACCCAACCCAATTCTTGCCCATCCCTAGTACTATTATCTCAATTTCTATTACATGATTAAAAGCATATTTGGTTGTAACTTAAATTCACTTTTAAATTACACAAGCATAAAATTGACTCAAAATTTATTAGTCACTAAAAATTCGTTTAATTGTCAATATTTTTTTATTAAAAATGTGTTTTTTCTATCAAAATTCATACTTTTATACTATTTGATTGATTGGCATTTTTCCATAAAAAATATTTTTCTATTTTGGTCAAGTGATCATATTTCCTCAAAATCATTTAAATATTTTCTTTAAGGGGAGTAGGATTTTATTTTTAAGAAATTCTCTCTCTTATATATTCACTCTCTTATCTGCCTGTCAATAAAAATTGAACAAGTATAATATTTTTTAAGTTGAAAATTAAATCAATCAAACACATTTAATCTATAATTTTCATACAAATAAGTTCTAAGCAATTGAATTGTTTAGAATTTATTTTCTTTTCATTCAAATTTCATGACCCAATCCAACGCACCCTAATAGAAATAAACAATCACTACTATTTTTATTTAAAGAAAAAGAAGGTAATTATAAAGCGCGCTTGTGAAATCTAAAAGCCAGCATGGCATTGTATTATTGCTTCATTGGACCACTTTGACTTAGTCAAACCCAAAGATTCTGACAAATCGACTGTTCATCTTCCTCCTTCTGTCAAATCCACCCGTCCGTTACTTTGCAGAGTCTTCAGAAGCTGGGCCCCTTTTCTTCTCCCTCTAGCACTGCAATCACCATGCAAAGCCAACATAACTGCACGCGCCACCTCCTCAGCTGGTGCTAAACCATTGCCATGGTCGGCGCCACCGTATATCACTGCCAACACGCTTATAGCGTATTCTTTTGCCCTTCCCTCCATCTTCCCCATAACCTGAATATATCGAAATTCACATAAAAAAATCCAATATCATGAATCCACGTAATTATAAAGAATAAAATAAAACATAGAAAAGTAATTAACCTGCACCATCATGGGCACCGCTAGAGCGTGGGTTCTGACCTCCACCGCTCCCTCCTCCACCGTGCATAGCAACTCCAATGAGGCTAATGCCCTCTCCGCCACCGCATTTTCAGAGTCTGCAAGAGCCTCCACCACTGCACCGACTGCTCCCGCATTAACAGCCACGCTCCGGTTAACTTCAGCAAGACAAAGTGCTAGTAAAACTTTACTCGCCGGCTTCGGTGCCACTCTCTCTTTCAAACATGCTACTATCCCAGTCATTAATGCTGCCGGGCACGTCACTGTGTCGCTTCCTTCGGCAGCGGCACGTGGGTTTGGAACAAGTGACCTCTCAAGCGTGTATATTGCCTTGACCCTATCAGAATTCGACCCAGTACTGAAATGGACCTCAGCCACGTGGAAAAGCTCTTCTAACTTGGCATTTGAAAGTGGAGGTGGAGGCGGCGGCGACGGTGGCTGAGCAGAATTTTGTGCAGCTCCGTTTATCTTATTAGCTGTCGAACACTTAGACGGCACGGTGTCGGGTTCGAGTTTTGGTTGCGATTGTAAATGGTGGGATACAGGCGAGATAGGAAGTGGGAACCTCCATTGAGTGAAGCTTTGTGAGGTGTTTGAGGAAGAAGAGGAGGAGGACTCCGGATGGGACTGTTGTTTTTGAGGTAGCGGAGGTCCTAGCAGGGGCGGAGGCGGCACTTCAGAATTAGAGAGCGGAAGCGGTGGCGGAGTAGAGGTGGTGGGACTAAGTGCAGTCTGAGTGCAGTGGCGGAAGAATGCACAGGAGAAGAGTGGACGTGGGGTGGATTTGAGCTTGGTTTGTTGAGTTTTCATGGCGCAAAACACACAGAGAGAGTTAAGGTGTTATTTTTAAGTTTCCAGGATATACAACTGTTGTGTTCAGCCCACTGTTGGACTTAGACTGACGGTGATCATGACATTCTTTGAAATTTGGATTAATGTTATCAAAATTTAACATTGAATTTTTAAAATAGATTATGATTATTTACTGTTTCTGTTTTTATACTTTATAAAAAAAAAGGGAAAATTGCAGCCGAGGTACCAACCTTTCAGTTAGTTGCAAACTTTTGTGTCCAAATCTTTGTTTTGTGCAGCGGAGGTCCCAAACGTTTCAAAAATATGCACCGGAGGTCCAAATGAACGGTTTCCATCCATTTGACCGTTAGTTGACCAAAATAGTAAAATTTGATCAATTTTTAAAATGGCAAAATGGTAACTTTCCTATTTATCCCCATAAAATAATTGAAGTAATAATTAAAACAAAAGAATGTTGTTCATCCCCGCCCCACCCCGCCTGTGCAGCCATTAGAATCCACCCACCAACAAGACGACGTCTCACCTCCCACAACCACCAACAATTAAAATGTTTTGAGCCACCAACAATTAAAATGTTTTGAGCATTCAGCAAGCTTTTTCTTGTCTTTTTCAATGATGGGTCGTAATGTTTTGAGCACACTATTCATCTCCTTCTTCACCCCACCCTGCCCCGTCCCAAACAAAAAATTTGAAACTCAGCTACCATCTCCTTCTTCAACCCTCATCTCATCGTCGGTTCACCACAAGGTCACCAACCATCTTGTACATCCGTTGACCGTTGGACTGACGGTGACACCATCTCCTTCTTCACCCCTCGAACCCAGTTCACCACTAAATCACTGATCAAGCTTAGGAATCTCTGCAAATTAAAATTCACAACCCCAACAATCAACGCACACGCATAATCGATCAATCCGTTTAGAAACCTCTATTGCTTGTTCGAACATCTTTGCCTCTACATTTCTCAGGCCCACCCTTCATCAATCAATCCACAACAACAATAAACAAATCAATCCGATTTCATTCTCGAAAGAAAAAAAAAATCAATAACTAAATAAGCAAAATTACCATTTTCAGTTAATCCAAAGGAATGGCTTTTGATTCGACTGTGAAGTCTTTTGATTCACCAATTTTGATTCGACCTCGTTGGATTTGGGTGGGCTTATTTTGGTTTGATTGTGGTGGTGGCGTTTTGGGGGAAATTGGTGAGAGTGGGGTTGGGGAAGGAGATAGGGGGTGGTAGTGCCTGCCGGTTTTGTTTTGTTTTGTTTTTTTCTTTTTTATTTTTATTTGTTTAATGAGAAAATTGTATAGTTACCATTTTACTCCTTTTAATTTTGTCAAAATTGGTTAAAATCTTCTATTCTTGGTCAATTGGACGGAAACCGTCTATTTGGATATCCGGTGCATATTTTTGAAACGTTTGGGACCTCCACTAGTACAAAATAAATGTTTGGACAAAGTCTACAATTAACTGAAATATTTGATACATTGACTGCAATTTTTCCAAAAAATAATGGTACATGGATACAGAGAATGGGAGACAGGTGCATGCATGAGTTGTAAGTTTCAGAAATTCCAGTAGGTTTTGTGTCTTGTGCATCAGTGTTTTCACTGATAAAAGTGGGAGTGTGGGGTCTTCACTCACCTCACTCACCCGGGAAATTTGCCACAAAGATCTCCAAACATTAATAATGGGTCAAATGGGTTCCCAGTGGACATAGTAATGTCTGTTTTGCCGTCAAATATCACTCGTGTAGTGAAATATTGGATATAGGGGGTGATAAATCGATATTCAGTTCACGGGCTCTATTCGGACGATCCAAACTTATTTTGAGACGAGCCATGATTCGAGTCGAGTTCACATTTTTTTGTTTTTTTCACGAATCAACGATTCGACTCGTTTGGGCTCGTGGACCGGCTTTTGTTTTTCTCCTTATAGTTGAACTTGTTTTATTAATTTCTTAACAAATAGCTTTTTTGAGCTTATTTTGTTAATTTATTTTTGTAAAAAAAATAATAACAAAATAAAATAAAAGACGACCAGCTCATGAGGCCCATGAGCCAATCATAAGATTTGGACACAGGCCGATCTCGACTCGGTTCAATGTCTCCATTAATCCATTGAGAACCTATTTCAAACTAAAAAAATATAATAAGGGACTAATATCAAACTTCATTGACCTTCTCCTCCACTCCCCGCTATGAATGTTATCTCTTTTTCAAAATCAAGAATTTAATTAACGTAATTTAGATAACTTCTCATTCAATTTTTTCCAATTTTGCTCTTCTCCAAAGCTTTGGTCTCTTCATGGAATGCATGCTCTGCAAATGTGGTACCCAGACAGCAATGAACGCATCGGATCTATAAAGAAGTCGACTAACTGTTGATTTTGACTTAAATTTTAATAAATTTTTTTAATAGTACCAAACAGGGGCTTAATTATGCTTCCATTTCAACTGATACTTAGAGACTAGTCTAAGATAACTAGGTCACAATCATAATAAATGAATACAAAGATTTTTAACTTGTTTACAATGTACGTTATTGACATTATCTTTATCTCTAACGTGAGGATGCATTTTCGGATTTTGAGAATTATATATGGGTAGATGACATAAAAAAAAAAAAGTGAAATCGAAAATGAAATATAATTTTAGTTATTGTAGAGAATCTGATCTGAAATTAATAAAAATTAGGAAAAAAAATCAATGTTCGAATCAAATAATCCTACATTAAACGAAAAATTGAAAATCGTCAAATAAATTGTTAAACCGGCCTGTTAACCGTAAATCGAAAAATCGGATCTAGTTTTTCCAAATAAAATGATTTTATATTTTTTAAAAAATTTTGAACTAACTTGAGACTCACTTGATTTTACTAGCAAGTCAAATAGTGACCTCTATTATGATATTCATTTTTAAATGAGAGATTATCTTCTATTTTTCTATTGACATTTAATGTGGGATAAGGTAAAATTGAATTTCAATTTTAAGTATAAATATTTTATTTCATTATTTCAATAACAAATGAAATTATTTGTTATATATTAATTATTAGTTTTTGAAGTTATAAAATGAATTACAATAATAAATTTAATTAAGAAAAATATGGATATTTATTTACTTTAAATTAGTAAACTAAAATTAAGAAAATATATTGCTTTTATAATATTTTACATTTATGTGTATAGTTATTTATTCAATTTGACAACCGGTTCGATACCGATTCGACCCTGGTTCGACTTTTTGACCCTTGACCCTCTTCCTTTTCCGAATCGATGCACAAGTCGATTTTTAAAATATTGGTTGAAATCAACTTTTTTTTTTTCAAATTTTCTAATTCTTAAATATGTTTAATAATTATAAAAAAAATTTAAATTTTTTTTTATGTTTTGAATTTGATTACTTTTTTATTCTTAATTTATTTATTTTAGTGACAAATAATATGCTATAACAATATTTTACCGACTCAATTATTTAAAACAAATCGGATCAGATTGACCGATATTCATATTTGATCCATTTAGTTAACGGATTATCAAATTCGGAACTTGATCAGGTTATCAGACTGAAACCCTAAATCCATCTCCCATTAATTTCGTCAAATTCGAATCAAAATCCAATCTATTGACAGCATTTCACAAGTCGTAGAAGTCTAATTTATTTATTTTGTTTAATACTTCTAATTCATCTTCTTTTAGGGAAAAGTGTAGCAACAGTTCCTAATTTGTTCATTTTTTACACACTTTATCCTAACCTTCATTTTGTACTAGAGAAGATCCATAACCTTTCATAAATATGTAGATGGGGTCCTTTAGGATGGAAACCGTCCAAAACACCGTTAGTTGACCAGAAAAATTTAAAAATAAGATATATTGATCATTTTAAGGATGGGCAATTTCGTCCAATCAATATTTCTCATTTGATACTGTTCAAACCACTGTACATTTCCCTCCACATCGTTGAATAATATTTATTCTCTCTCACATCTAGTAATTGTTGGACGCTTTTCAGAAAGGAGATGGAGATGAATGTCTATGGGTTTTCTGTGGAGATGAAGACTTCATAGACGAACTTGAACCCATGAAGAAGATTTATCAGCTACCCACAACAAAAAGATGCGGGTGGATGTGAGTTTTTTGACTGGGTTGACCCGCTAATGTGTGAGAGATCGAATGAGCTAATTCCTGGACTTCTAAGGGTCAGGAGGGAGACAGAACATGAAATAATCATCCTCCATTCAAGAGGTCGTACATCATGGAAAACTTGGCTCATTGAATTTGTATGTGAAGTTTTAATGAAATGGGTCTGTACCTAGATCTGGGTTAGGTATAAGCTAAAATATTGGGTTTTGTGTTGTGATGTGGGTCTCACAATGACAATCGTATAGTCTGTTGTCTTTTAACTTATTTTCTAGTAATAAAACATGTTATTATTCAATTGTGCTACAATGTTTTATTTATCCTATATTCTTCTTATTTGCGGAGAATAAGGGCATGTTCTCTTTGTCGTTTTCAGGTCGTTTTCTGTTTTTGATTTTTCAAAACAGCGAAAACGCGTTCTCTTTTCCATTTTTGAAAATTCGTTTTTGAAAACAAGAAAAAAAATTAGCCTAAAAACACAAAACGTGGTTTTTGGCGTTTTCACCGTTTTCAAGCCAAAACCCTTCAAAACACAAAAACGCGGAAAATGGCCATTTTCTCTATTTTCACCACTATGCGTGAGAGAACCATGGAATCGTCGCTTCTTCCTCAACAATCGACCACCTTCCGCCACCAAGACCACGAGAACCTACTACCATTCGAACCCCCTCACCTTCCTCTTCAACCTCTTGTCATCACCTGGCCACAAAGTTGTCGAAAACAGCCCCAATCACCACCCAAAACCGCGTTACCAGTCACGATTTTAGCCATATTTCCACTGTCATCGGCCAACGCTTCGATCTCGGACCACC